GCTGAGAAGTTAGTGTCTCATGATTCAGTGAAGGCTGAGAAGTTAGTGTCTCATGATTCAGTGAAGGCTGAGAAGTTAGTGTCTCATGATTCAGTGAAGGTTGAGAAGTTAGTGTCTCATGATACAGTGAAGGCTGAGAAGTTAGTGTCTCATGATTCAGTGAAGGCTGAGAAGTTAGTGTCTCATGATTCAGTGAAGGTTGAGAAGTTAGTGTCTCAGTTAGTGTCTCATGATACAGTGAAGGCTGAGAAGTTAATGTCTCATGATACAGTGAAGGCTGAGAAGTTAATGTCTCATGATACAGTGAAGGCTGAGAAGTTAGTGTCTCATGATTCAGTGAAGGCTGAGAAGTTAGTGTCTCATGATACAGTGAAGGCTGAGAAGTTAGTGTCTCATGATACAGTGAAGGCTGAGAAGTTAGTGTCTCATGATACAGTGAAGGCTGAGAAGTTAGTGTCTCATGATACAGTGAAGGCTGAGAAGTTAGTCTCATGATACAGTGAAGGCTGAGAAGTTAGTCTCATGATACAGTGAAGGCTGAGAAGTTATTTAACTATTACCTCCTACGTGATATTAAAATTTGATTTATTAACTAGATTTTGATGTAAATTTTAATAATAATAAAGTAGTTTAATTAAATTTTGAATGTAACTCTATAAAAAAGTTGTTACATGTGCACTTTGACTTACCCCTATCTAGAGGGCTAATCTTAATACAATTATTTCCAGCAACAACTGCATTAATCTATAACTTTGTATTATAAAAACACTAATAAGTTGTATCTGCTGAATAGTAGAAACCTTAAGTCTTATTCCAAAAGAAAAAAAAAGTAATACAACATTCAAAAACTATAATTAAAAAGATCTGCTTGGGCAAACTTTAACAAATCAAATATGTATCTTTATAAAATGAACACTGGTCATACTAATGCATCATTTCCCAATCTATTGTGCTTTATAAAAGACAAATATCAACTGTTTTAATATTTTTTTGAAATGACAATACATAATTTATCTACATGTTTTTCAAATGTTATAAAAAAAACTTTGAACTTACACAGATGAAATATTAGTAGCTCTACTTACATGCCAAAGCCTATATAAGCCATAATCTCCAGTATGCCAAAAATAGGTGAAATGACCATACCCCGAAAGAAATAAGTAAGCTGTGACCAGTACTCGTACATGCATGTATATAGGAAGGACCTGTATGTATAAAGCAATCAATAAAATACATTTTACTGACTTAATCATACAAGGACATGGTTGAGTTAACCAGTCATAGAACTTGGAAACCATACATACTATAGCTCTAAATTTATAATGTGTATTTTCACAAAATTTGGCATGTTTTTAGTAAACACTAAGTCTTTTGTAGACAAAAAATCTGATTTTGTATTATTCTTACTACTGATTTGTCTATGAATACACAGCTAGTTCAAGCGAAATGCAAGTTTCATGCAGAGAATAAAAACACCTCTTTTCACCTTACAGTTTTCATATTTAGAGCCTCCTAAATGAATATCAAATGTTTATGGTAAAATTTTTTCTCATATTTTCTCTACTCTAACAGTTCTTGAGTCTATAGAGAAATTATCAATGTCCAGTTGAAAAGTAGAAAATGAGTAACACTATTCCTTCATTTAGATGAACTTGAGAAATGTTCAAAAAGTTTCAAAATATTTATCTTAACATTTTCAACTCAAATGATAACCTTTTCACACCTCTTTTATGGTTTTATTACAATACTTTGTACCCATTGGAGTATTTACCCTTCAATCTACAAAGCAATAACTCATAATGTGAGCCATTAGCTGTTTCTGGTATTAAATATAAACAGAGGCATGAAATACGACACTGCACACAGGTTAGCTCAAGTTAGAGGAATTCTAAAAATTTTATTTTACAGAAGTTTTGTTGGGCTGCACTGAGAACTTGATAATTTTTACAAATATTTACTGTTGTTAATAAATATATAACAATAAATAAAAAATATACAGAAAAATCAAGGACTGGTAGTACTAAATGTGTACTCAAGCCATTTGCACTGAAGTCAAAATCTAAAATATTCCCTAAACCTCATTGAGTCTTACAAATTTGGGTGTCCAAAAAAAAATAAAAATGTAGCTTCAAATATGCATTTTGCAAAACAAAATTTATCATGTTTTTTTTGCACTGAAAATAGATTTCCAATAGATACTTACCTCTACTCACATAACAGCTTATCTTGATCTTCTACTTCCCTCTAATGCATTGAAAATAAATCTTTCTTGCTTCATACACTAGCCCATAAGTTCAAACTGCTCATTTAGCATGAAACAACCTTCCACCAATAGGAGCACAACACACCCTCCTAGAGCAGCTGGCTCCCTCTGTATTATTCTACATGCATCTCACTTTCAAGATCAGGCACACATGAAATATATTTACTCCGGAAGTGGAGAGAAAGGGTGAGAAGTATGTGAGAGAGGTAAGTATCTATCAAAAAATATATTTTCAGTGTAAAAAAATGATAATATATAATTCTGCTCACAGAAAAGCTAGAATCCCACATTGAGTAGGTGGAGGGACCGGTGTAATATATAAAACAAAAGACTCCCCGTGGAAAGCATCCATAATCAAACATGGGGGCTTCATAATAGATGGGCAGCACAATTGTGAAGAACCACATCACATATTGAATAGGTATGCTCTCTGTCAATGAAAAAGTGGAGTGTCATGAAATTGGCAACATTGAGCAGAAAAGGCCTCAGAAAACACAACAACAGCATATACTCAACCCCAATCAAACAGACAAGGTTCCATGTCCCATCCTTGGCGTACTGTCCAAAACAAAAGAAGTAGTATTGTGCCCAGCACAAGTGGACCATAATAATATATACACAAACCCTAATCGTAAGTAAACAGGGTGCTATACTGCAAGCAGACAAATTTCCAAATCAATCGTAAGAAACAGGAAGTACAACAAACCAAACTCAGAATTGCAGGGTCATGTCTAAGCTTCAACCTGACCGTAAGAACAGAGTCATCCTGAACACAGTATTACTAGCATGAAAAGAATGAACTCAAGAGAAAGGATCTGAGGTCCTTCAAAAATTTGTTGGGAGGAACGACAAAAGGCCTCTGACAGAAAGTGCTTGTGAAAATGAGACAAAAGCCTAAGCATTCAAACCCTAGACGGGTAAAAGTGGATTTAACCTTTGTGAATCCAAACAAGGGTACAAAGAGCAATGAAATGCCAAAGTGTGTTCATCCAAAACTCAAGGGGGTTGAAGCATATGCACCCCTGAACTTAACTGAGAGAAAAACCCTGAACATGAACCTGGTAAAGGGGAAACACCAAACAGTCCAAATTAGGGATAGGAGAGGCATCATAATAAACATGAGAAACAGTAAAAATGTGACAAACCTGTGTAATTAATTGGAGAAAAGGAATAGAAGGATGTAACTCCTCGAAAAGTACCTGAACTAGAGGCATGGCAAATTATGGAGCAGGAAATTTGTAGCCTAAATCCTCCTTGTCCTGAATATGTTAGAAGTATAAAATCTATAAAGACTTTATATGAATACTTAGAGGTCAAATGGTTGGTCAAATCAATCAACATCATGTTGAGGGAGTTAACATGTCAAGACAGCAATAGTGTGTGTGTATATATATAGGTACGTTCCATAGAAACAAGAATTAAAGAACATTCTAGAATCTGGAAATGAAGGAAAATGGATTCAACCTTTGCATCCCACGTTTTTGAAACTAAACATCAATTTGAATCAGAAAAACTGCCAAATTTTACATATCTGTGAGAAAGGTAATAAACTAGATAGTCTGGAAATTTTAGAAATAAATAGAAGTCTAAAAACAAATCCAGAAAAGGGTTATAAATAACCAAACCAGCTTAAGCTCCTCCCCACTTCTTACGCCACTTGTCTCTAGGTGAATGTCAAAGTCATTTCCAGTTTCACCTAATACTGGTGGTTTCAAAAATCAATTACACTTTTTTTATGTTGAATGTGCACTATTTACTGCAAATACATGAATTCTTAGAAGTATATTCAGGTTTTTGTACTTGTAAGCTCTTTGAATCAGCAAAATATTGTTCATGTATTTTGTAAGCAACAATATATTCCATTTTTCTTTAGTTAGTTTTATTAACTCTCTTTCTACAGGATTGGTCGATTCAACCTGAAAATTGATACCAAATTGACCTTTAGTTTTCATACTATAACTTCTAATATGTTTTGTGTAGCTTCACAAAATTTCACAAGCTGTCAGTAATTATTAAGTCATTTGTAGACAAAAAAAATCAGAATATTTAAATAAAAGTATTTTCACTAAAAATTTTTCTATGAATATAGGGACACCAAGTGATTTTCATGTTAAGTTTAAAAATATTTTTCTTCATCTGAAAATCTCTAATTTGTATGATCTTTAAAATCTCTTTAATAAATTTAAATTTTTTAATAAAACTCTCCCCTAATTCTACATGAGGTTGGTCAGCTGGACCGACCTTGTAACCACCAAAACAATTCAAAATAAATCTAAATTACTCTTTTTTTTTCTCTCTAGAATGATTTCAAATTGTAACATGAAACAATATTTGTTTATCACAAATAGCTTTAAACTTGTAACAGTATACATCTGTTTCTATTTAAATTTTATTATTCTTTGAACTGTGCCTAACTAATATTCCCACCATACAAGTTGTAAATAACTTGGCAAACAAGTAGTTCACGTTAACCTTTGAAATAGATAACGCACTGGCTACTGGCAAGTTGCTCACAAATATACCTCATGAAAAGCTTTTATTTCATTATTATTCTTTATTTTACCTAATCTAACCAAAAAAAGTTTCTAATTTTTACACTCAAATTACTTTTATAACAACAAATAAAAATACATATGAAAAACAAGAAATATAGTACTTACTTGAATCTTTTTTTTGCTGTTGACTGTCGATGAAACTTAACCTTACTTTTTTATACTAATGGCACTACTGCACTAAATAATTTTTTATTTAATTAAATAATACATCAAAGAACACAGAATAATAACATGCAAAAAGCAGACAATGATCCATTACTATAACAATTTTTCTGACTTTCTAACTACGCAGCAAGAGCCGTTAAAAATTCAGTTAAGCTTGTCGATGCGTTTCCCTTAGGAATAAAGTTTGAACTTGAAGTGAAACAGACAATTATCTTTAGAGTATATAAGGTAATATTAAACATCATTTGAAAGATGTTACAATTCTCATACTAGGGGAAATTCAAGATTTTTAAAAATAATGCCTTACAAAATTAAGAACGAAAAACTTATATAATATTAAAATTTGGATAATTAGCTACATTTTTATGCCCAGTTTATTTGTATACCGTGATAAGAAAGTAGTTAAGTTAAATTTTAAATGTACCTCAGCAAAATCTCATGACATGCACAGAAGAGTATGCCTGAAGCAAGAAGGTTAATATTGTGGCTTATAATGTTTAAAATAATTTTGAAGGAGAGTCAAAGATTTAGGACTAACCTAAATCTCATATGCTGGCCAAACCCCACACAATATTGGGATTACAGTCAAATGTATCCTTAATAGTAAGGGTACCCAGAAATTAATCAAGGAACTTTAATCATTATAGATTTTATTTTCTTTATGTACTGGTTTTTTTATTACTTGCCAGTTTGTTGCACAGAGTTGTTTCATTCATTCAGAAGATTCTTTTAATTTTGATCTATATAATTAGCTTACTTTTGATTAGAAGTTGTTAATTCTTTTATTAAATTAATTATATACATTTTAATTAATAACTCTGTTGTTTTAAAATTATATTTTAGCACACTGATTTGCTAATTAAATGCTTAAATTTATCAGCATGAGCTCGGTCCCTGGGACCAACATCGTAACCATTTTGTGCTTATTGTTTTCATGCTATAACTTGTAAATTAGTTAGTGAATG